GTTTTTGGAGCACATACTTTTTCACTTTTACTTGAGTAAAGAGGTCAAGTTGATACTTTAACTTTTACCAGAGTGTTTTTAAACTGCAGTATCTATACTTCTACTTAAGTAACAAATGTATGAACATCTGACACCACTGATCTATTGCAAATACAACAATTAAATTTGTTATATCTTGTAATTAGGTATAAAACTGTCAAAAGCTCACAATACTTTTCTTAATTCTTGATAATATCAAAATAACTGAAAGTAAATAAAATAAAACTAAGTGCTGAAATAATCCTGATCAGGCTGTGCCAAGTTTAAGTGTGCAGTGTGAGATAACACATGTTTACTGTCCTTATTGTTCACATGAAATAAAGCAGCAGTTTGGCCCAGCCAGGTATGAATTAATCAAAGGAAATAATAAAAAAAAAAAAAATCAAATGATATAAAGTTATAAATCAGATCTCAGTATCAGGCAGTCCATTTTTTCATTCACAAAATCATACAGTTTCTATAATAACATAACAAATAAAAACAAAACAAAAACAATGAGATAAACATAATATTGTTGCCTCAATTTACAACTTAGTAGGATGTGAATAAAAGTTATGTCTTCATATATTTCCAGGTTAGATTCCCAGCAATCAGCTGTGAGTTGGTCTAAATAAGACATGTTTTCTGATTGTCTATATTCCGGTCAGCGAGTTGTCCAGACTACAGCAATACTTTCATCAGGAGGAAAAAGCAGCAGCTCTCCTGGTCTGACAGGGATGTGGGTGGCTTAATGAGGCTCTCACATTATTCTATAAAGATGCTCATCACTTAAAATATTGTTTTTAAACCTCTTATCTCAGCTGTGTTGGTTATAAAGGGCTTTAAAGACAATGTCTGCATTGGTGAATACTGCCACCTTCTGGTCAACATTTAAAATATCTTCCAACTCTCATATCTTTCTCACTTCTGAAACAAAAACAATAAGGCTTCTCTGAAACAGCAAAAGAGATGCTGCAGGCATTTTCTATTTGGAGACTAAATGACAAAAGAGAGAGAACCCATACTGAGAGATTTTGGAGATAAAGCAAGATCAAGACTGCCCATTCCCAAGGGGCGGACCCCAACAAAGCTTTGCTTTTGGTCTAATCTATAAAGCCTCAAACTCTACCATATTTCTGACATTTTGA